CACGTGGTGTGACCCGTGTGCCACCCTGGGGACACCAGTGGAGCCATCCAGCAGCACCATGCAAGGTCTGTGTGCCCACCAGGACCAGCCCAGGAGAGTCCTGCACCACGTCCTGAGGGGCTGGAGGGGTCTGGGCTCCTCCTCCCAAGCATTTGGGACCCTGCCCTTGTTTTCCAGGAGCAGGGCTGTGCCCAGAGCGGAGGTGGCACAGCCAGGGCAGGGTGGCACAGCAGTGGTGCTGGAGCTGGGGGTGCAGCAGGGCTGAGCTCCTGGGGGGTTCAGGAGTGCCCTGCCCAGGATGGGGACTGGGGGGAGCTGCCATGTGCCTGTCCCCACACCTTACAGCAGTTCAGCCCAGCCCAAACGTGTTTGGAACAGCAACTCCTTTATTTACACCTGGATTTATCCTCATCTGCTCCACGAGGTCTGGGCTGGCATCTCTGCCAAACCCCTCTCCTGTAAAAAGCACCACCAAAAGCTTTTGGCAGTGAGGGACAGAATAGAGAGGTGAGGAGGAATAAAGGGGCTGGCTCAGCCTCATCTGGAGGCAGAAAAAGGTGCTCAGGGGGAGGCAGAGCCACCCTGACCCCAGCCCTGTCACCCAACCTCCGGGTCTGGAGCAGGAACACAGGAAAGGAGCACAAGAACGGGGAGCTGCTGGAGTCCCCATCCCTGGAGGTGTCAAAACGCGGATGTGGCATTTGGGGACACGGGTTAGAGCTGGGGAACGGTCGGGCCCGATGATCCTAGAGGGATTTCCCGACCTGGGAGGGATTTCCCCACCCGAGCAGATCCCAGGCGCAGGAGGATGCACAGCTCGGCTGCTCAGCCCGAATCGCCAGCAGAGAGCAATAAATGCCCATTTTTTGCAGCGGGAGCGGCTTCTCCGCACAGCCCGAGAGCGGCTCTGGAGCACAGGGAAGAGGGAGAGCTTTTCCCAGCTGATCTCTTTGCTTTGGCAACCAGCGGCCATCTGGGCTTCACAGCCAGACCCCGCTCCCAGTTCCTCCAGCTCCCTGCCCGCGCTGCCCTGCTCGGATTGTAAAATACAGAATATTTATTTATTTTCTCTCTCCCTGCTCTCTACAAACGCCGAGTTCAGCTGCCTCCCGCAGTCCCTTCGAGGCGTTTGTCACCGGGGCAATGGTTATTTACCTCTTGTTTACCGGGCATTGCTGCGGGGCTGCCGGGCAGCCTCACACCCAGCCCGGAGCAGGGGAATCTCCATCCTGGGTGAGATCCAGCCGGCTCAGGGNGTGCGGGGCGGCCCAGCTGGCCGAGCTGTACCTGCTGTGGGCAGTGCGGCTCTACAGCGAGCTCCAGGGCCACCGAGAGATGGACACAGAGCTGGCACAGGTGCTGCTGTGGCTGGCACAGGCCATGGTGGACAGGCAGAGGAGGGAAGATGCCAAACTGTGCTATGAGCTGGCGCTGGGCTTTGCCCTGAAGTGGCAGAACCTGAGGAGTGAGTACAGAGGGGAGCCGGGCAGTGTTTGAACCTGCTACGTCCCCAATACTGTTCCCTGAGCCGTCCTTCTCCCTTTCCCTGTCCCACACAGGTCAGCTGCACATCACGGAGCGTCTGTGCCATTTCTACAGCAGAGTGTGCCCTGACCTGCACGCCTCCATCACCTACCACGAGCACTGGGCATCCCTGGCACGGCAGCTGCAGGACAGGGAGATGGAGGCCAGTGCCAGGCAGGCCCTCAGCCAGCTCTACCAGGCTCTGGGCACACCTGAGTGAGTGCCTGGGCTGTGGGATGCTGCCAGAGTGTGCTGGCTTTCCTGGGGTGTCCCTCAAGCAGATCTACCCCACAGCTCTGGTTCTGAGGTTTATGAGTTGTCACTGTGCTCTGAGAGGGAGCAGCTCAATGTCAACCAGAGCTGGGCAAACGTTGTCCCAGACAGAGCTGGAGTGTGGCCAAACACAGTTTTCCAGGACACATCCAGGCTTCAGCAGAGTGACAGGGAATTCATTGCTTCCTTTGGAAGCTTATCCCAATGATTAATCACCACTCCCCAGCAAGAACAGGCTCCTTATCTGCTCTTTGGGTAAGTCTGGTTTCAGCCTCCAGCTGCCAAGGCTGCCCTTCCTACATCTGCTGTGATATTGTCCCCAGGGAGGGCCTAAAGACCCACAGGAGGTGCTTAAAACCAGTATTAGCTCACCTTTAATCCCTGCCTAACACTGTGTGGGACGAGGAGAGGAGAGGAGAGGAGAGGAGAGGAGAGGAGAGGCCATAAGCCCCCCATGAACAGGCCCAGGGACACCCAGCTCCACCCCAGAGAAGGATGCACTGCCTTCCCCTTCCCCTCCCATCCTTGGAGGAGTCTGATGGAGGCTGCAGGGGTCTGGTCTGTCCACAAGGCATCTCCCAGCTGCCAGCCCCAGAGAGGAGCTGCTGGGCGTCAGGCACAGCCAGGGGATGGGTGTCAGCCACACACCCAGAGGAGCCAGCCCAGTGAGAGGGGCAGGAACAGCTGTGACAGTGAGGAGACAGACCCTGCAGGGTCCAACAGCCCACTGAACAGGGCTGCCATGGTGAAGAAAGGGTGTCCAGACCCTGCAGGGTCCAACAGCCCACTGAACAGGGCTGCCATGGTGCAGAAAGGGTGTCCAGGGCCTTCTGACACATAAACATCTTTATCTCTGCAGGAATGGAGACTGGAGCACTTGAAAGCTGCCGGACAGCTCTCAGCTGATTTGAGCAAAGCTAATCACAATGATTAATTAAGTCTTAACTGCACAGACTTGCTTCTGCTATTGAAGAGTGACCTATTATTAAAATTAATGTTATTAATTAATAATAATTATTATTATTCACTCTGACATGGAGGCAGAAGCTCAGATTTGTCTGCTGGAAGGCCCCCTCAATAGCAGGGATGAGCTGCAGGAGTCCATCCCCATAAACCCCAATGCTTCACAGGAGCAGCATCAGCNCTTCCAGCAGGTGGAAGGAAGGGAACATCTCCAGAGCCTCCTGTGCCACAGCCCCCTTGCCCAGGGCACATTCCCATGTTATTCCCAGCTTTTCCAGCCCTGGGGATGCTGCTCTGTGCTGTGATTCCTGCAGGTGGGTGCCCAGGGCACATTCCCAGGTTATTCCCGACTTTTCCAGCCGAGGTGCTGGAATTCCTGCTGCCTGCTCTGCCCCCATTTTATCCAGGGCTCCAATTCTTCCTTTCATTTATTTGCCAAACCCAGCATTTCCCAATCTCTGCAGGCAACCACAACCAGCCTCAGCTCTCAGCCTCACAGCACTGGAGGGGAACACAAGGAAATCTGAATTTCTCTGCCCAAAGCAGCTGGAAAAGTGGAAGATTTGAATTTCCAGCAGTGTTCTCCTCCTGCAGCCCCACCACGGGCAGGGGAGAAAGGCAGGAGCGACTCCTCCATGGCAAATCCCCAGAATTTGCTTTTCCAGGTTGATTTTTAAAACCCCTCTGCTGGTTATTTACTGCTGAGCTCTACATTTAGGGAGTAAATTGTACCTGACTCATTTTATGGCCTGCCTTGCCTTTTATCTTGCCTGGCTATTAATTTAACCCAGCAAATCTCTGTGTTTGTCAGCTCCGATTCCTGGGGTACCACAGGACTTTGTTTGGAAATTGATTTGTGCTTCCTGATGCTTCAATAAAGCCATTTGGAATAAACACAGCTCTTCATTTCCCTGGCAGTACGTGGGGAACAGGCAGGAGCTGAGCACAAAAATAGACATTTATTTCACAAGTGGAGCAAGGGGAGGCCAACAAGGACGGGGCAGCCTCTAAATAAGGTGAAGATTGCAGGGCAAATGAACCTGGATTTATCCAGCAGGACCTGCTGGGTGCAATATTCTGAATTTTTGCTGTCTGCTGTGCCCAGAGAAGGAGTTCTGGTTCTTGCTTATCCTGGTATTTCCCACACCAGGGAGGGGGAGAGGGAAGCTCGATCAGGAATCCAGGGAAAACAAGGCAGAACTGGGAATGGGGTTGGTCCCTCACCTTTGGAGAGATCCCTGCTGCTTCTCCCCACTGCATGAATCCCAATTTTCCACGTCCTTTCTCTCCATTCCCTTCTCACGCCTGATTTCTCACCAGTCAGGAGCCCTCAGTGTGGCAGGAGAGGACAGGAGGGGTTCATTTGAAAGGGGTTAATTTGAATTCCTCTTTTTTCCTTTCCCTCTGTGTTATCCTGCAGGATGCCAAGGCTGCAGCTTGCAGAGCTCCTCATTTCCACCCTGCCCACGTTTCCAGGGGGATGGGGGAGGTTTGGCCAGGCTGGAAGGGACCTAAACCATCCTAAACTTCCACCAAAATGAGAGGGGAAATTTTATCATGAAGCCAAAGAGAAGCTGAGCAGAGAAAGGAACACAAGTGGCTGCTTTACCAAAATGCTTCATTTTTCTCTGAAATTAATTAGCTGAACCCTGACAAAACCTGTTATTAAAAGAGCACCCTTGTCTTTTTAATCATCTGAGCTGTTTATAAAGTGCAGCCAGAGGCTGGAAATCAAACCCTCTCCTCCAGCTCTTTTGTTCATCTCTGTCTGGGGGGGAAATTCATTAAAAAATTACTGGCAGCCCTGAGCCAACGGCAACAGGCATCTCCAAAAGTCCTGTAATGAACAACTCTGTCAAATGGCCAAATGAAAGGGAAAATAGGACAGCAAACAACAACTCGGGCAGTTGGCTGCCAGCGGGGGCTGCAATTAGGAGCAGTGTGATTCACACCCCACTCTCGCCCACCACTGCTCTTTAGAGGATGATTCAAGGATTGCATCACTCCAGTTCCCTGGGACCTTCCTCTTGGCACTGGGAAAAAGGCAAGGAGGCAGCTGGGCTGCTCTAAAAAAAAATGGAAAAGTGAGGTTGTGCTGCTCCTTGCACGGTCCCAGGACACCCCAGTGCTCTGGATGGGGTGGGCAGGGCTCCAGGGGAGGGGGCTGAGCCTGACCCTGGGCATGGAGGGGGCAGAGGGATGGGGGAGCGTGCCCTGGTCCTGGGTGAGGATGCAGCAGGGGGTCAGGGGATGGAGCGGCTCTGCTGGGAGGAGAGGCTGGGATTGCTCACCTGGACAGGAGAGGCTTTGGGGTGACACAATTGTGGCCTTGCAGGGCCTGAAGGGGCTGCAGGAAACACAGAGAGAGAGGATTTACAGGGGATGGAAGGACAGGACACAGGGAATGGCTCCGAGTGCCAGAGGGCAGGGTCAGGTGGAAGTTGTGGCTGCCCCTGGATCCCTGGAAGTGTCCAAGGATGGGGCTTGGAGCCACCTGGGACAGTGGGAGGTGTCCCTGCCATGGCAGGGGTGGCACTGGATGATCTCTAAGGTTCTTCCCAGCCCACCCCAGCCAGGCACCCTCTGGTGCTGTTGTTTCTGTTATCAGCAGCCCTGAACCTGTGGGTTGTGCCCTGTGCCACCTCAGGGCCCCACACCTACCCAGAACAGTGTCCTTCATATTTCCAGGGCATTTTTCCACAGCTGACCCTTCCCTGGTGGCCCAGGGCCTGTGTCACCCCCCGTGTGTGACATGGCAGGAGTGGGCACTGCACCAATATTCACCTCTCTGCAGGCACCCACTGCTGCTGGGACTCACTCCAGATGATTCCCATCGATCCAGCCCTGTAAATGACTCAATCCAATGTTCTCCAAACCTGTGCTTAACAGGAAAACTTGATTGGATTTGCTGCTGGAGATTGACCTGATTTCAGTTACGTTCCTGGGGATATTTTCCTTTTTCCCTGTGGAACACAGTGTGGTTTTACAGGTGAGGAATTTCCCTGTGGCCTTTGCATGGAGCCCTGCAGCTCTGAAGGACTCACACCCCGTGTGACCACACAGCTGTGCCACTGTCACCTCCAGGTCCCCACAGCCACCACGGGCAGAGCAGCTCCTGCAGCTCCTGCAGCTCCTGCAGCTCCTGCAGCTCCTGCAGCTCCTGCAGTTCCTGCAGTCTGGGCTGGCCCTGCCCAGGAAGGCCAGGCTGGAGCAGAGGGGACAGGACAGGTCCAGCAAAGGCAGAGGATCCCAAAATCCCTCTCTGCCTGTGGTTGGCATCCCTAGGGACAATAACAGTGCTTGTCCTGAGAGAGCTTCCTGCCTTTACAGGGGAATTCAGGTGACAAAATGCAGGAGGGGGTGGAGGTGATGTTTTAAATTTCCTCTGGGCAGTGCTGGGAAGAAATCCCAAAACCCCAGTGCAATGCAGTGCTCTGCCTTCCCATTGGGAATCCATCCATCCATCCATCCATCCATCCATCCATCCATCCATCCATCCATCCATCCATTTATCCATCCATCCATCCAACATTGCCCATCCCTGTGCTCCTCACATTTGCTGTTAAATAAAGATCTCCACTACTGACTTTGGGTTTGTTTGCACCTTAATTAGGACAGAGAAACCTCTCTAATTATTTTAATGACCACATTTTGGCAGTGGGGAGCCAGAGCCTGCCCCAGCCTGAGCTCTGTGCCTGGGAGCATGGAGATGTTCCTGCTCTCCAATCCCTGTGCCTGAGAGAAGCTGGACAAATCAAACTGACCTGCAGGTCCAGGGTTGAGTCTGGTTGGGCTCACAGAGGTGGAATCCATTTTGGGATCTCTCTCAGCGGTGTCACTCTGCTGCCAGGATTTCAAGGGCACCTGTCAGGGATATTTTGGGAAGCAGAGGCTCCTGCCTGCTGCCCCTGTGCACGGAATTCCAGTCAAACGAGGTCTGCAGGAGCAGGGCTCGGGGGAAGCTGTGGTTTAGTGTGAAA